CCAAGACTGGAGTGCAGTGGCCGCTCCTGGCCACCGCAGCCTCGACCTGCTGGGCTCTGGCGACCTTCCGCCTCAGCCTTCCAAGTAGCTGGAACTATAGGCGCGCGCTACCGTGCCCAGCTAATTTTTGATTTTATTGTAGAGATGAGGTCTCACCAAGTTGCCCAGGCGGGTCTTGAACCTGTGGGCTCAGGCAATCCACTCACCTCGGCCTCCCAAAGCGTGGGACTACAGGCTGAGCCACTGAATCCGGCTAACTTTTTGTTATTAAGTTTAAAAAGTCAGAAATCTATACATTTAGAAAAGGAGACATTATTTCTTTTTCTTTTTTTTCTTTTTTTTTTTTCTTTTTCCTTTTTTGAGTTGGAGTCTCACTCTGTCACCCAGACTGGAGTGCAGTAGCCGCTCCCGGCCACTGCAGCCTCGACCCACTGGGCTCCAGCGATCCTTCCGCCTCAGCCTTCCAAGTAGCTGAAATTACAGGCACGTGCTACTATGCCCGGCTGATTTTTTAATTTATTGTAGAGATGAGGTCTCGCCAAGTTGCCCAGGCAGGTCTTGAACCCGTGGGCTTAGGCAATCCACTCACCACAACCTCCCAAAGCGCGGGATTACAGGCTGAGCCACTGAGCCCGACTCATACCCCCTTTTCTTCAGATTAACCATTTGCAATGAAATTCTCTCTTGAGCACATTTTCCTGCATTCTGACACATTGTGAATCCTGGCTTCCTGAGCTATATGACATGTAGCCCAGAGCTATATGTCCTGGGAGTGGAATGGTGAAGAAAGAGCTCTTGTCTTTAAGGGGTTTGCGGTTAGTGAAGGATGGGACAAGCAGCCCCTCTGTCATTAGGACTGTCTTGTCTTCTATATCCTTAGCTTTAACATAGGGATGCCTGGGGTTAGAGATTAGTGAGACTTTTCCTCTCATTTAAATTACCTGGGATGCGCTTTGAATTTGTATTTGCCTTTTTAAGACATTGTCTGAATCAGTAATATATGCATATAATAAAAAATTCAAAAGGGACAAAAGAGTGTGGAGTGAAAAGTAAGCCCTCCCTGTTTCCTAATCACCCAATGCTTTTCCCCAGAGCAGCCACTCCTACCAATTTTTATGCTTTCTTAACTGTCATGCATATACATGGGCATATCCCTGCTCCCCTACACACACACACAAATGATAACTTTTACCTGCTGTCTGCCCTTGCCTTTTTCATTTAGCACAGTATGTTGGAGGTAATTCAATACCAATACACACAGAGATGCTTTATTCTTCTTAATGACTGAATAGTAGTCTATTACTTAAAAATCGCCTAGTGATAGGCATTTTGTTGCTCCAGTCTTTTGCTACTGCAAACAGTGCTGCAGTGAATGTTCTATTAGGAACATCATTTAAGTTTGAAAAACACTGCCATATTTCTCTATACACCCTCAGCAACATTTAAAGTTGGCTGTTCCTTCCTAATATATTGTTTATCCTCCTGTGTTTAAAATTAATCTGTTCCTTTGTCTATGAGCTGTTCATGTCTTCTGTCACTTTTCTATTTAGTCATTGGCTGTTTGTTTTTTTAACATATTTGGAAAACTCTTTTTTTTTTTTTTTTTTTAGTTGGAGTCTCACTCTGTTGCCCAGACTGGAGTGCAGTGGCCGCTCCCGGCCACCACAGCCTCAACCTGCTGGGCTCCGGCGATCCTTCCGCCTCAGCCTTCCAAGTAGCTGGAACTACAGGTGTGCACTACCACACCCGGCTGGTTTTTTGATTTATTGTAGAGATGAGGTCTCACTGCCCAGGCGGGTCTTGAACCCGCGGGCTCAGGCAATCTACTCACCTCAGCCTCCCAAAGGCACGGGATTACAGGCTGAGCCACCGAGCCTGGCATTGGAAAACTCTTAATATCTTAGAGAAATTTGCTTTGTGGCATCTGTTGTGAAAATTTGCCTCTGCCTTCCTGTGGCCTTGCTGTTGCCCTCTCTGCAATCACGGTCCCTCTCCCCTCACTTTTTGACATCTCCATGTTTTAACACTGCTTGGCTTTTTGCAGCTTCCTTTTCCCTTGTTAGAGCATCTTATGAAGATGAGCAGATACACTGAGTCCTGAACTCTGGACTGGCCGTTCCATACTTCTTTTAGCTTCTCAGTGGTCTTTTTTACTTTTTATTGGTTTCCTAGACTTGGAACCATTTGTTCTTTTCACACTTGAGGTGTCTGGGTCAATGTAGTGTTAGTGCACCTAAGGTAAAACACAAGGAGATGATGTATGTTTGTCACCTTGAGGCAGCGAAGTATGAGCTCCGGCTCTTACTCTGTTAGTATGTTATTGTTGTTTCAGGTTTGCTTTAACGTTTTCTACTCTAAGTAACTTATAACCTTGCCAAGCCATTTGACTTTCCTCGTCAGTAAAATGAGGATAATACCTACATATCAAGTTGCAGTGACTAAACAAGGTTGGAAACATTGAGAGAGAAGAAGGGGAGGTGGAGTTGAATTCTTAACTTTTCCTGTAACTGTCAAGTCCTGCATTTTCCAGCGTGAGGCCTTCCGTCATTGGGACGGCAGAGTAACGGTGGGTTCCCTGGGAAGGAAAGATCCCCCAGCTTCTAGGTGACATTCTGCATGGTCTTAAAATGTTACCTGGCAGGCTTCAGCCTTCTCATTTGTAAAAGAGGGACACAACTGAAAGCAAAGGTTGTGTTAAGTCAGTTTCTAGATTGCTCATCTCTAGGAAAAAAGCATCCCTTCTTAATGAAGACTGTTATTCCGGTTAGTCCCTCTGAACCTATTCCAGTTTGAGGGGCTGCCCGATTAAAAAATTTTTTTAAAATATGTTATTCTACAGATGATGTTTGGCCTTGAAAACATGTCTATGCTAGCTGGTGTGCTGGTCAACAAGTATGGAATGATGTAATGTGCTGAGTTTAATAGAATTGTTAACATTGCTCAGTGTCCTCTTCATCTGTCTTCATCTTTACTGTTGAGAGTGTGTGGAAGCCTTTTCTCTCCCCATGTCTGTTTCCTGCCTTGGGAGGAAGGAGTGATATGAGGTAGGAGTTCCACCTGCTGTAATACTGTGATTATGTGAGTGCAGGAAATCAATTCTATAGGCCACGCTCCAGGGTGATTTCTTCTCCAACTCAGAGTTGATGGGCAACAAGAGAGTGTAGTCAGGCTCTGGGGTTATAAAGACCTTGGTTCAGGCCCAGTGTTGCACCTTTATCTTGAGAAGTCATTTCACCTCCTGGAGCCTTGCTTCCTCCTTCAGTTTCCCCGTCTGTAAAATGAAGGCGACAATAGCATTGGCTGCATAAGGTTGTTTTGAAGTTCACTGGTTTCTGTGGGTAAAGCCCTTGGTAAAGCACCTGGTACGTGGTAAGTACAACCCTCCACCTTGGAAAAGATGGTAGAATAATCGTCCTTCCTCTTTGTTGCAGAGGCTTCATCCTGCAAGTCTCCTGGAAACACTCCCCTGAGTGGCCCCTCCCTCCACTGCCCCTCCGCTGCAGTCTGTATTGGCATCCTCCCAGGCTTGGGCGCCTACTCTGGGAGCAGCGACTCAGAGTCCAGCTCAGACAGCGAAGGCACCATCAACGCCACTGGGAAGATCGTGTCCTCCATTTTCCGCACTAACACCTTCCTGGAGGCCCCCTAGCTCCTGTCCTTCCACAGGAACTCCTCCCCAAGAGTAGATTGGACTGTTTGTCCTGCCACAGGTGTTACCTCCTTCAAGAAACTCCTATGCCTGCTTTCTGTGCACACCATGGCATTTTTAACATGATCTAAAAATGTGCCAGAATCCACTTGTGGCCCGAATTGTGTTTGGTTTCTCTTTCCCCTCCAATGCAGATGGCCAGATCTGTCCTGCTGCCTCTTTCCTCGTTGATGTGGTGGGGAGGGTCCAAGGCCCAGCAAAGATTCCACTAAAAATGCCCTGAGATGAGGTACCAGCTGGCTTGCAGAGGGTTTGGGTTTTATTGCTTGCTGGTTTTTTTCTTTTTTATGTTTTTCTCAGCAGCACAAAGAAGCAAGGGCAGTTATTGGACAGAGGTATTATTTAAGCATTCTGTTGTAGATGAGTATGTTGTTTGATTTTACTGCCTTGTGGGGCATAGGGGGAGGAGAATGACCCAGGTGATGAAATGGAGCCCTTCCCTGGAACTAACCAGTCCTTGATGTTGTGTGACTAAGTGAAGATCATAAACTATATCCTTAGGAGGTGTCACGTAACACTCAGCATTCATTGTGAAGTTTTTCCTTACCCTTGGCAATTCCTTGTCCCATCCGCATCCAATCCCGTTTATGTAGGAAGAGACTGGTAGCAAGATAGCTTCCATCTTCTCTTCAAAGTTTTTCTCTAACTGGCATATTATTTTGTTTTTGTTTTTGAAATAAAGATTTTGTTTAGGATTATAAGCTTTAGAGAAACAAGCATTTCTTACTCTTATTCTGGCCGCTTCTGGAATACTAATATTGCAATCTAGTAGGACAGACACACCTGTGTACTACGACTATACTCCATCGGGGCCCTTCTCTGTTTAATACATATTAGGGGTGGGGCTTTCAGTGGCCTACTCTTTTCTGACCTCAAGGTGCTGCCTGGTACTTTTCTTGTATCTGCTGCCCCTCCTGCTTTTCCCTTCCCAAATGGAGCAACTCTGAAGCCATGAGCGCCAAGAACCGGAGGTGCTCCTCTGCCTTGTTGTCACATAAAGGGAACTAGTACATCCTTGGGATTATGAGGGAGGGAGAGAGGGTCTGGAGGCCTCAGGACAGAGGCAGACAGGAGCTTTACAAGAAGCTATAGCTCCCCTGCTGCAGGAGAATGAGCCTATATGCCTCTTTCTTCCCCTTGGTTTCTGCGTTGGTTGTTTCTACTTCCTTGGGTGTGAGACTGAGTGAGACACACACAAAATGTGTTGACACTGTGATGCCGGCAGGCAGAGAAGCTGCTCAGTCTTAACGTGGGCAGAGGCCCCTGGATCTCATCCAGCCATTCCTTTTCCTTTTCCAGTGCAGTGACACCCTGGTGCCTGTTGGCAGATGGTGACTTCCCTTCACCCGTAACTGATTCCTTGTGAATTCTTCCTGCTTTTCCGAACTGCTCTGTGCTAATTGTTCCTGACTGCTAGTACGGGTGCGACAGCTCCAGCCTAACAAACAAGACGTTGAGGTAAAGCTGTGTAGGCACCTTCTGCTCCTCTGCTTCATTGTTCTGGCGACTGTGCTGTCATTATTACAGCACATACCCACGGCAGCCTCACGTTGCTTCAAGAGGCAGACCAAGGGATCACAGCCACCATCCTCATGTGGCTTGACTTTTAAGAGGCCCTTACGGTAACTCATGGTCTCAGTTGATGTTAGGAGAATTGGCAAAGGGGCTCAAGGCTTAAACACATGTTAACACGAAGGCTAGTAAACCTGTCAGAGCACAAGGCCTTGTCATTCCTACATTGAATCTTGTGCTTCCAGCGCTCCCTGTCTGCCTCAGCTGAATTGTGTTGAGAAGGCTGACTTTCAGGTGGAGATTTTGACCCTTGGTGTCTCAGAGATTCAGGATAACTCTCTGAACGGAAACAGCTTTTGTAGACACCACTGCTAGCATAGCAGGGTCTATTCTGACCAACAGAGGAAGCAGCCTTGGAAAGATCTAGTGTAGACCTTGAGGTTCAACCCCAAAGAAGAATGGAATTAATAGAGATGGAAGGAAACACTGCTTTAAACCAGTGTTTCAAAAGTGTCATAATGCCTTAATATTTGGGATTGTATAACTATTGATAGTAATAAGGGATAAAAACCTGCTTACTTTGTCCTGAATGGTAGTATTCTTACAACTCTCTAACCATGTGAGGGAGAAAGCTAATGTGAATCCCATTGCCAGCTCTATATATTTGGATCTAGCTTGTGTCACCCACCTAGGTGTGAGAAAGGGGGCATGAAATTCAAAGCATCCATTTTTCCATCTATAAAAAATAAGGCTGGTGTGACTAGACCCAAAAAGGTGGCTGGCTACCTGTTTATATATGACCTGCCTGGGTCCCAGGATCCAGGAGGAAAGAAAGCTGACTTCCCAGATCCAAACTGAGGGGCTTAGCTCTTTCCAGGAGCTTTCTAGGCAGGGAGTCAGTACCCCCTAACTTGGGGTGACTTAGGCTAGACCCTTGTGTGCTCACGTCTTTCACTCTCTAGTTCCTGAGTTCCTCCCTTCTGGTCACTTGTTCCCACCCAGGAGAAAAACTTTGATGGCCTAAGACCTTCCCCACTGCTTCTGCTCCTTCTCTCTGGAAACTCAGCCTAGTTCCACCTTCCCTGGATATGCTATAGGGGTTATGGGCTTGGAGCCAGATGTTTACTAGCTGTGTCACTTGAGCAAGGTTAGGGCGACCTCTTCATGCCTCACTTTCCTCAGCAAATAGGAATAACACCACTAGCTTCCTAGGGAGATAAAGATGATCTGGATTAGGTGCTAGGTGTGAGGTCTGGCACACTGCGCTCGGTAAATGGTAGTCATCCTCAGAGCTTCCACTGGCCTGGTGACTGGGGCACTGTGCCTACTTCTGGGCAGCATGTCCAGCGCTCCTGTCAGAGGTGGTTTATGCAGTTTGAGCCATTCCACTGGCACTGCTCCATTGTAGCTAGAACACTGGCATAGCGAGGGTCAGCTCTGGTCGTCAGAGCTCCAACCACCAGCCTCTGCTGTACGCCTACCCCTGAGCTAAATGTTAATTGTTCAGGCACACCCGGTTCCTTGGCTCGGGCGTCCTAGCCGTGGGTATATGGCTCAGCTGTCATCTTGGGCCCCTCCAGAAAAACAAAGAGGAAAGCTCTGTGGCAAAGCAGTTATTTGGAGTTGGGCATTTTCTTGATGTTCTGGTGTGCCCAGTCCACTTACGCATAACAGGATGGAATGCAGGTTCTGCTCAGTGGGAGGCCAGGATCCTGGCAACACTTTTGTAGTCACAGGGTGAACACAAGAAGCCAGTTGCACATTCATGCTTTAGTGATGCTGGCAAGGGTGGGCATTTTGCTCCTTACCAGCTGGAACAGTGATTTAGGGAGAGAGGGAGTCTCACAGCAATAACAGACAGGATGCGGCAGAGGAGATAGGCAGAAAAACCCGGGGAGACAACGCTTCACGAGCTCTATGCTGTAGGCTGGTCTCCCTTGCTGTGTCAGTAGTAGCCCCACACATCATTACCCCTCATGTTGATTTCATTCAGTACGCACTGAGACTTTGCCACATAGATGCCAGGCATTTGGGGCATTTGCCCACTATTTTTGTGGACTGCAGTGTCTTTCATCCTGAAAAAAAGTCCCACAAAGCAGCACAGGGGCTCAATGACTTGCCTGAGGGTGCATAGCTGGGTGACAGACCGAGATTTTCATTTGACCCTTTAACTCGTAAGCCTAGCTTTCCGTGATTTCAATGAAACTTTTAAACAAATGCCAGTGCCTGGGCCTCAGTGGAGGAGATTCAGGAGTGAGGGAGTCTTTCCAAGTTCACTTTCCAGATCTCCAACCTTGTGCAAGAACAAAGGAGCAGCATCAAGGCTTGAATTTTTTTTTTTTTAAAGTGATTTGTTTGGTCTTGTCGATAGTTTCGGCATACTCCTGTCCTTTTTGAACTGAAGCCAACTGGGAGTAAAGGGCCTGCTTGACTTACCCACCCAGGCTTAGGCAGAGAAGGGGCAGGCGGAGTAGAGGTAGCTGGGCCTGCACCCACTCCCTGAAGCCTGGAAGTGGGGACCATAGCTCTACCATACTTGAGACAAGTGATCTGTGAAAATAGGAACATTCGGGACAGACCCCCTAGTGCAAAGTAGGGGCTCTGCCTTAACATGGCCCTGTGCACAGCAGTGTTCAAAGTCACTCCCATAGGGAGTTGGAAAAGGTGGAGTGGTCTGTGAGAAGTGGTCACCCTAGTATATCCATCCCTGAGGGCTAAGGAAGGCATGTGGGCCTGAAATGCCTCTGGTCAGACTTAGCAGATTCTCCTATATGGAGGGCAGGTACAATGCCATCCAGAGGACTCACCTCAGCTGCCAGCTGAGAGAGTAAACAAGCAGTCTTGTTCCAATGCTTCAACTAACACCCAGTCTCGCAGCTGGTCTGAGTGAATGACCCCAGGTGAAACAGATGTGTTGATTGTGGGATTCCATCTGTGTTGCTGGCCTGGGGACTGGGCCCTATGCTTTCGTGAAGGACAGCCACAAATCAGGGCTCCATGCAGTCTCTCAAGACAAGCTCAAGTGCCCCTAAAGAATATTTCAACTAATGCTTGGTGGCCACAGAATCAGTGGAGGCATCAGAAGCTCAGGATGATGGTGTCCCTCACCTGCTCCCACCAGGTGAACCATGGCTGTAGCTCATCAGGCGCTTGGAGTGAGAACAGGCCTGGCTTGTGCCCAATCCTAGCAGGCCTTAGTGAGAATCACTGACTGGAAGAGTAGGCACGGATCTGACTTCATGGGTTCAGTGGCATGGAGTGACAAATTTATTAGCTGGCAACTGGAGGAGAACCCCTAGCAGAGCTGAGGGAAGGCATTGGACTCCATGGAACAGGCGTGGGCCATGGAGTCAACCAGACTCAAAGTCCAGCTCTGCCTCTAATAGACTTGACTAGCTTCTGGAAGAGTTCATGGAGATAGTGCTGGCAGAGCACTTAACACAGAGCTGGACACAGTGCTGAAAGGCTACTGGTTATATGGAAGCCTTGTCCAAGGGACTGACTGCAGCTCCAGGAGCTGGGAGAGATGTGTTACATGGAGCAGGGGACCAGGGAGGAGGGCAGAGGCTTCAGAGAGCTGTACTCCAGCCGGTTTCACACAGTTGGGACTGAGCCAGAGAGGAGGATGTGGCAGAAACAGTAGGGTCAGCAGCAGCAGTAGTTGGGGTCCTGAGGCCAACAAGGTGTTCACATACCTCTCATGATAGACCACAACGCCTGGGCAACCTGGAGGAGCTGATGGTGACTGTGACACTGTCCAGTTGGGGACAGGGACATGTGGTGTTGGCTGGGCCTGCATGGCTGGTGTGGGCCTGGACATTCTGTTCACCCACAAATATATATTATGTGCAAAGGGCCAGTTTAACAGATAGAGAATGAATGCTGATCTGGGAACGAACGTCCCCGTGCAGAAGCAAGTTCACCAGCTTTGCAGGCTTGCTGGATAGATTTTCATGTCACATTTCCTCTCTCAGATCAGTGAGTCCCTCAGGTCCCAGCAGAGGAAGTAACTGACACAGGGACATCTGAAACTGCTTTATTACCCTGAGTATATAACAAATAGAGCACAATCACAGTATAAAAACAGAGCAGGAATTGGGTGCAGGCTACGACACAAAGTATGCACCAAAGACATGTTCCTTCCAGAGTCTGCAGCTAGTTACTTGGAAAAAGCCAGTTATGATTGTAAAAATTTTATTCTCCTTAATAACAATTCCACTAGAATTATACAAAGTACATTCAATACTTAAGAGTGGCAAGGGAGGGGAGAGGAAGCCAGTCGGGCCGGAAGCATCATCAGTTCACTTCAACAAAGGAAGCCCAGCTGGGCTGGGGGAAGTTGGGGGTGGAAGTCCGGTTGTAAAAAATAAAAATGTGGATCGGTAGAAAAGGCCACCCACAGGGAAGCAGGGTGAGCGTGCGCGTTTCTGGGGGAAGGGGGCTCGGCCGCATGCTGCCACTGGGCACTGGTGCTCAGGCGGGCTCCGAGTTGGTGGGGGGCAGGTTTTTATGCTTGAAATACTGCACGACTTGTTGGGGCAGCTCTGCCAGCACAGCTTTGGCCAAGGTCTCTTTCGCTGCCTGCAGGGCCGAGGGTGGGAGGGGAGGAGAGAGAATAAAGATAAATGAACAGAAGTTGTGAGGGGCACCATGCCCAGAGCGCTGCTGCTGCAGGTGTCCATGGGGGACAAACCCAGACTGAGGGCCAGGGCAGTCTAAAATAGCACCCCTGGTCTCCACCCAGGCCTGAACTCCCACCTTCCTTTCAGTTAAGTGTGCCTCTTACCCAGAACACTTGAGATACCTAGGAGTGACATTTAGAATGAACTCCCCATGGGAGGCAACCTGCTTATCTGGCAGGCATCTCCCGAGCACCTCCTGGGCTGGTATGAATGGGCATGACTGTTGGGTCACTGCTGGGTGGCCAGCCACAGGCCAGACACGTGGAGGTGTCAGGCACTGGCCTGTGCACAGATGATGACCGATGCCCAACATTTGTCCTCAGGAAGCTCACGCTCCAGAGGAAGGAGCAGAACCATCTCAGGCAAGCCCAGAGGACACTGGGCAGAGATGTGTGGACCACACTGGGCACAAACCAGGAGGGCAGTTCTTGCGGAGGCTGGCTTCCAGATCTGAGCCACAGCACCCCAAGAGGGCCTTACAGCCCAGGAAACTGGGGCCCAGAGAGGGCTTGCACAAGACCACACGGTGAGCTTCTGGTCAAATGAGGGTCAGGCCCAGGCCGGCAGTACAGGGGTGACATCTGAAGACTCGCTCCCTTCTGGGATTCCTCACGGGCTCTGCTGCGAGGGCAGTGACCAGAGCCATCTCTAGGAACAAGGCGAGGGGACACCAGTCTCCTAAGCAGAGGCCTTCGGGAGAGGAGGCCAGCCTCAGCCGAGGAGGGGCCTCGTTTCCCAGCTGCAGGATGAGGGGCACCAGGAAAGCCTCTCACCTCCTCTGGGCCTTTACCCTGGTCCCTCCGCCTGCCTGGAATGTTTCACACCACATGTAACTCCTACCTCTGGTCAGGGCCCCAGTTAGAGAGCAGGTCCCCCAGGACACCCTGCCCGAGAGCCCCATGTTCCATCAGCTTGTAGACACACGTGCTCCCACTGTCATAATGGCCTCCTCTGGTGAGGCCTAGCATGGGACCTAGCACATGGGAGCCTGCAAGAAGTATGTAGTCCGTGGCATCTAGGGTGGAAGGGTCTAGAATCCCAACTCTCATCCTTGATGGTGAGCTGTGCTTCCTGGGGTACTCTGACCGCCCCCTCCCCAGCCTGGGTACACACTCACGTTGCGGAACTCTCGAAAGGGCACGAATTGTACGATGTCTCGGGCTGCCTCCTCTCCTGTGTGGGAGCGCAGTGTGCGGCTGTCCCCGTCCAGGAACTCCATGGCAGCGAAGTCAGCGTTGCCCACGCCCACAATGATGATGGACATGGGTAGCTTGGAAGCCTGCACCACAGCGTCCCGCGTCTCCTCCATGTCACTGATGACACCATCCGTGATGATGAGGAGGATGAAGTACTGCTGCAGGGTGGGGTCCACCGAGCACTCAGCAAAACCCTGAAGCCTTGGCATCCCCTCGTCCCTCTCCCCCAGTCCCTCCTACTCCTGGGAGGAAGGCAGTGCCTCTCGCCCAGCTGCAGCCACATCCCAGCCACCTCCCTAAGCATTCGGCTCTCTCAGGGTCCAGCCCACACAGGCCTCTGATGCCTCTAAATCCTGACCCGGTTGCAGCAGGAAGCACAAACTGCTCTCCCCTCCTGCCCTGCGCACTCAGACTCTCCTCCTGTGGCTTCAGAGCCCTGGATTCCAGGCCTGGCTTTGCCAGTCATTACACTGTAGGACTCTGGGCAACTAACTTAACTCATTGTGCCTCAGTTTCTCCATCTGCAAAGTGGAAGTTGCTGCACCTAGATCAAAGGGATAGCATGCCCGATGCGTGGCAGCGGCTGGGTTTGCTGCCATTTTCGGTGTCCACGGCAGCTGCAGGAGGACTCATTCTGACTGACAGACTGGGACCAGCCTCCCCTTCTCTGCTCCACCTGGGTATGGAAACCCATGATACTCTCTTTTCTCTGCTCAACATGGCATCTGAGACAGCTGGCAGGAGCTAAGAGCAGGCCATCTGGGCCAGCACTTCCGGGGGTGTGGGACTCTGCTGGTAAACAAGTGCACTTGGGTCACATTCCAGACACAGCCCTGAATATCACTGAGTCACAGGAGGACTGGTTTTGTAGTGGCCTTTCCATCCTATAAGCTGTACCCAGGAGGAAGTCTTGGTGTGGTGCTACTGTGTCTTTACACCTCTCCAACAAGTGTCCTTCCTTATCAACAGAGGGAGAAGGCAGGAAGCCCAGAGCTTGAGACAATCATCTCCAGCTAGACTATAATACCACTGTGCAGTCAGTTGTATTTATTTTTTTTGTTGCCCTCTGTTTATGGAAAGTGATATTTTATCATTTACAGGGGGATATAAAGTTCCTGACAAACGAAGGAATAATTAGTGTGGGGGATACATGGATAGAGAACAAGCTGGGAAGGTGGGGACAATGGAAGGAGTTTCAGAAGGCCCACTGGATAGCCTGAGGGTGGACAGCCTGGAATTCCAAGCTGCAGAGACCACATTTTCAGTTTAGCTCTGTCCTTAGTGCCCTCTAGCTCCTTTTGGGGGCACTCCGTTTTCTCCATCCATAAAATGAACAGATCAGCCCTTGAGATCCTAATATTCTCTTCTGGGGCTTTGCCTTCTAGTCTGACCCTTTTGATTCCCAGAAGAGGAAACTGGGACCCAGACTAGTCAAGGTCATGGAGCTGAAAACAGTAGAACCATGTCAGACTCCAGGTCTGCGCTTGACCACCTTCCGATCCAGCAAAGCTGCTTGCTTGCTAGGGGCTTGCAGAGGCAACAAGCTCAGCACCACCCCCCAGGGTGCCCTGCTCCCCTCTCTGCTCCCTAAGTGCAAGCTGTGGAGGGAAGGAACAGATGAGCCGTGCAGACTGGACCCGACCCCAGGCCCAGCACTGTGCCTTTAAGAGACCAATCCCTTGGCTGGGGATACTGTTGCCATGGAGATGGTGGCCTGGATCCCACAGTGGAGGGCTGCTGCTGCCAGCCCCCCATCCCTGGCTTTGAGTGGCCTCATAAGCCCATCCAGACCCTGGCCCTCACAGCCCGCCCTTGTTCCAAGGCCCCCTCCCTTGGGCAGTCCTCTAAATGCACTTCAGTCCCACCAGAAACAGTCCAGGGCAGTACTTCCGGGGCCCCAAGCTGACAGGTGGGAAGACAGGAAGAGACTTGGCAGTGAGGAAAGAAAAGAACATTTGACCTTGGTCTGGCAGGTCCCACCATTCAGTGGGTGGGGCCTAGAGACAAGTCAAGCTCAGAGAGGCGGTCCCCACCCCCTCCCCACATGGCCCTCTTGACGCCCCATTTCAATCAGCCACATGTCTAGGAGACCCGTGGGCTCAGGTCTGGGCCTCCCGCATAGCCTTGCAGCCCTTCACCTCAGAAGGCTGGGGCAGACAGCGTGCGTTCCTGAAGAACCGTGGGCACCAGTGGACAGAGTCCGTGATGACACATGATGACAGTGTCCACACACTGTGGTCCCCACCCAGTGATTCCCAATTTAGACACCAGGGAGAACTCAGAGAGGTTCCATGACTTGTTAAGGGCCCACAGCCAGGAGCTGGCATGATCCCGAGTCTGGCTGTATCCAAAGCTGGGGCTCTTTCCATGATGTCCTTCTCTAGTGCCCGCTGGCACCAGTGGTCTATCATTGTGTCTCCAACAGTGGAGCCTGGCAGGGAGAAGCTTTCCTTCCACCCAGCACCCTGGTGTCTGATGGCCCGAACCTCCAGGGAATCAGCCCAGGGTGGGGCCCAGAGCCCTGATGCTGGACTTTAACTCCCACTCCCATGTGCCAACCAGCCAGCCACAGTGCCCACACCCATTTGCCTGGCCTCAGCTTCTGCCCAGCTGCGCCCAAGGGTCAGCAGCCTGGCCCTGGCAGTGGAAGTGCAGCTGACAAATCCTGGGCTTCCCTCCCAGCCTGGGCAGAGCAGGGTTGTCTGGAAGCCTCAAAGGTCCAGGGACCCTGCCCCTAGGAAAGATCAAAGTGGGCGGGTTGTAGATGGGGAGATGGACAGAATTGGATGGGAACAGTGGGAAGGGCTGTGCTGGCCCAGCAGATGGGCCTGGTCTGCCCCACCCCCGTGTTCCCACCTCCGGAAACAGCCCATCACTGTCAAGTTGAATCCAGAAACCCAAACTCACAACCCATTTCAAGGATGGAGTCTCTCTTGCCTTTACCCAGGGTTCTTCAGGTTTCTGGGGTGTAAATAGCTGCTTCCCCTAAAGCATTTAACGTAGGACTTGACTGATAAGAAATTGACTTGATCACACAGTTTCAGGCAGCATCTGGGGAAGCTGCACTCGCTCCCTAGGTTATTTCTGAGAAGTCCTCTGCTGAGCACCCTAGGGGCAGGAGTAGGGGGAACTTCCAGGATGCCAGCCACTTCCCAGCTCCATTTCCACCAGACACCAGACACCTAGGCAACCAACCAGGAATGGGCCATGAATAGCAAGGCCCAGGGCTCGGGGACCAAGGCAGAGGGAGGGATGGAGGCCCCAGATGGGCATCGCCCCTAGGCACTCCCAACCTGCTTAATGCCCTCCAGTGGCTCCCCACTGCCTTCAGAGAAAATCCAGATTCCTCGATGGTTTCCCAGGCCCTGTGGGAGCTGGCCCACCTTTTCAACTTCACCTACCCCCATTTATTCCTCTCTGTTTTCTTTTCTTCTTCTTCTTTTTTTTTTTAAAAGACAAGATCTTGCTCTGTCACCCAGGCTGCAATGCAGTGGTGCAATCATAGCTTACGCAGCTTCAAACTCATGGGATCAAGGAGTCTTCTCCACTCAGCCTCGCCAACAGCTGGGACTTCAGGTATGCACCACCATGTGTAAAATTACCTGGCTAATTTTTAAAAATTAGCCAAAATTACCTGGCTAGTTTTTATAAATTGTTTGTAAAGAGAGGGTCTTGCTACATTGCCCAGGCTGGCCTTGAACTCCTGGCCTCAAGTGATCCTTACACTTCAGCCTCCCAAAGTTCTATGATTACAGACACAAGCCACCATGCCTGACCCATTTACTCCTTTTACACCACACTCCTTCCTTCAGTTATATCCACACTCCAAGCCTCCATGCCTTTGCATGTGCTGTTCCCTCTGCCTGGGACACTCCACACACACACACACCCTTCATGAAGTGAACTCTCAAGCATCCTCCAAGTTTTCAGCTTGGACATCACTTTTCCTGGAAGCTTTCCTGAGCCCCCTCACCTGGTTAAGTGCCACCCTGTGATCCTGTGCCCCATCTTGACAGGCCTAATCCCACACATCACAGCACCTGCTCCTGGCCTGGCTCCGCACACACGGCGGCTCTGGGAGGGCAGAGGCTGTATCTTGCCCATTGCGATCCCTGCAGTGCTGTGCAGGAGTCTGCTTGGGAAGACACGTTGAGTGAATGAACGGGAGCGTGCGGCCTGCCTAGGAAGATGCTTCCAGCACCTGCTCTCAGCTTCCTGTACGTGGGTGTGCACCAGTGCACATATGTCTGGGGGTAGGGAGGGCGAAGCCACACCAAACATTCTCCCGAAACCAAAAATCCGCTGAACGAAAGCATCGGGGATAATCCACAAATTACTTCCTTTTGCTTTGGGCTAAATGTGTTCAGCATCACCAAATGCTAGCCCAAGGGGTATCCCCCAGGAACTTCAGCCACCAGGGATGCACTTTCTGTGTGCTGAGCACTGAGGCTGAGTGATGCATATGCCTGTCCAGTTGAATCCTCATGGTGCTTCTAGAAAGTGGGTACTGAGTCCATGACCCCTGTGGTACAGGTGAGAAAACTGAAGCTTCAAGAGTGTAAGCCACCTGCCCTGGGTCACACAGCCAGAAAGTGGGGGAGCCAGGACCTGAACCTCCCAGAGCTCAAGGCTGAACCATCAGACAGCCCCACCTCCCCTCCCTGGTGTACCCTGAGACCAGGGATAAGGGGAGGTAGGACAGGAAGAATGGCTGTATCAGTTCCTGGACATCAGAGTAGGAGGGGCCATTGAGACCACCTGGCCTCACTCCTGCAGGCCAGAGATGCCTGGAGATTGCCCAAGGTCACACAGCCTGAGTGGATGACAGCTTTCTGAGGGTAAGGGAGCCAGGAGGAGGCTGCCTGCCCTAGGTTGAGAGGACCAAGTCAAAACCACAAGGGCTGGGATGTCCAGAGGATCAGGACTGGGTGTTCCATGCCAGGGCCTCAAGTCCTCTGGCTTCTTCTCTCTGGGGCCCTCCACAGTGGTTCTCTGGAACACAAAACACTGTTCCTGGCCTTCCCTGGGGCTCATGGGGTCTAATAGGCAAGGGTCCATCTCTTCCTGGACCCACCCTGCCCAGTCCTGCCACCAGCTCAGCAGGTGTAGCAGGAAAGAGAGCCCTAGCATTAAGGCTGGGCTCCTTTCCTCTCCCAGCCCATGTTTTCCTCCTAAAGCCAATAGGCAGGACTTTTCCCATCCCTAGGAAAACTGGCTAAGGTGGATGAAACACAGGGTGAGACAGTGGCCTGACACCCAAAGAGATGGAGTGTAAGCCGAAGGCTGCCTCTCACTCTGTACTCCTCAGCCAAGGCTGCCCTAGCACCCGCAGGAGTTTTTTAAGAAGCCCCTCCCTGGTCTTTCCCAGTTACTACCCTTGCAGGCTGCCCCAGATCCTCATGGCGCCCCAGGGTGTTACTGCTCCCATTTCTTTTTCTTTTTTTTTTTTTTTGAGTTGAGTCTCACTCCGTCGCCCAGGCTGGAGTGCAGTGGCATGCTCACAGCCACCTCGGTGTCGACCTGCTGGGCTCTGGCGATCCTTCCACCTCAGCCTTCCAAGTAGCCAGAACTAGCATGGGCCACCACACCCAGCTAATTTTTTATTTATTGTAGAGACGAGGTCCCATCAAGTTCCCAGGCTGGTCTCAAACCCGCAGGCTCAGGCCATCCACTGGCCTTGGCCGCCCAAAGTGCTGGGATGACAGGCTGAGCCTCCACATCCGGCCAACAGGACTCCCATTTCACCAGAGGAACCGGCTGGGCGTGGTGGCTCACACCTGTAATCCCAGCACTTGGGAGGCCAAGGCGGGGGGACTGCATGAGCCCAGGAGTTTGAGATTGTAAGAGGAACCGGGCTCAGAGCAGGGAGGGACTTGTCTCAGGCTCCCAGCTGCCTCAGTCAGGGCCTGGGATGGCCCTGAGGTCATACCCCTGAGGTGGTGGTGACTTTCCTCTCCTTCCTTTTGGTCTCTGCACTGCCTCAGGCTTGAGCTTGCTATCCCCTCTGCCCTGTGGCACCTTCCCTGAGCTCCTGGTTGGCCTGTCTTTTCTCGTCCTTCAGGTCTTCGGGGACTCTCTTTTGGGTCTTAAGTGAGCCGCGTGATCTCACTTAATCCTAATACCACTTCCTCCAGGTAGGTCCTATTAATAATCCCACTGTACAAATGAGGAAACTGAGACTCCATGATTTGCCCAAGACATGGTGAGGGAGGGGCGGGGGCAGGATTCCAACCCGGGCACCTGACTCCAGGGCTCCCCTTTCTCCACAGACCCTCTACTGCCTCCCGACCCCTTGGAGCAGACTCTGCCCTTTCCAGAGGCCAGCCTTTGTGTCCTCTTCTCTCTCTCATAATCTGTCCCCGTCTCCATCTTTGCCGCCTTCTCCGGGAAGCCAATCTCCACTTCCCTAGTGACCAGTTGCCTCCCTCCGCTATGCATGGGAGTGGGCCCCCTTCCCTGGGGGAGGAGAATCTGAACTTCACACAACTCAAGGCCTGCAGCAGGGCCGACTTAACTCTGTCCGTTCACAGAGCACAATGAGCACCCGTCACAGGCTAGGCACAGAGATGGGTGTGAACTAGGCGATGCCGTCATCACCTAGTCGGATGAGAACAGGCAGAGAAGGCAGATCTACTTCAGACTAGCGGTCAAGGGAGGCTGCTTGGGGGAGGTGGCACTCACTGAGGGACGCAACAAAGTCAGCCACGCAGAGTCCAGGAGGAACCTCCAGGCGGGTGACACAATCATCCTAAGTGACAAAGGGGCCGTGCAGTCCGCGAGATGGTTGGTGAGGGAGGGAGAGGGAGGAAGAGGCTTGGAGGATATCACCTGACTACAATGGGTTTTTGGCAGGGGAGTGGCAGGATTGAGCCCTCCATCAGGAGAAAGAATGGCAGGGGGCAAGGGTGGTGAGGGTGGCTGCAGTGTCCAGTGAGAGAGCCATGGCAATGGGAGGTGGGTGAATTTGGGATATTGGGGGGTAGAATAAAAAGAACATTCTAGCCTTTGGGAGGCTGAGGTGAGTGGATTGCCTGAG